AAAAAAAAAAAATGGTACCATTAACAAACCCCAGAGTAGGAAGTAGGTTGGATGGCAATCTCAGCCTTGCCATTTTCTTACCTTTGACACCCTGTGCGGTTGGTTATCTCATAGACTTTCTGGCAGTTCAGAGAGAATGCAGATATTCTAGTGCTTTGAACTAAGTACAGCATTCTCCTGCTAACATAGTTCTTTCCTCTAATCCTCTGCTCTCACACATATACACACACTCATAATGACGGGGGAAAATAAGTGTTTTTACCATGGGTGAAAAGTATATGTCCTAACATCATAGAAGATGAAGTGATTTCTTTTAAATTTTTTTTTAATTTTTAATTTTCTCTTCTATAAGCTCATATTTTCCTTATTAATTTAACATGTCTTTACTGTATTCTCCTTATGAAAGACACTAACTGGAAAACAGCCTTAACACACCTTTTTATCTTAAAATATTCTATTAACGGCTAACTTCACTCCCAGCTAACATCACTAGGAGAATTCCTTTCTGTTTGTTTAGAAAGGCTAAGAAACTACAGAGATAAGCATCTCATTTTATCTAAGAACAGGATGGGATGGGCACTCACTGATCACTAAATATACAGACCCTGCTATTTATAGATATAATTGTTGCTTTTATTAGATTAGGATTAAGCCAATAGAAAATTTACAATGTCTAATTTTAACTGTTAAGTTTTATGTATTGGATTATATTTTGTTCTGAAATAGAGTATAGAGTTTCTCCCTATAGTCCATGCTATTTAAGTGAACTTCTGTTCCATTGTTGCCCCACATTGTCCATCACCTGAAAATTTAGTACATTCTAAAGTTCCCTAGGATTAATCTTGACTGTAGAAGACAGAGGTCCGTCGAGCTATAGTCCTTTTAAAATATCAGAATAAATTCATTCTGAAGTAGCTAGTACACTGAATTTTGGCAAAAGAATATTGTGTATTTCATGTGTAAAATATTTATGTAGATGTATATATAATAAGCAAAATCAAAAATTGTTAGATTTATAAGCAAAATTAGAAAAAAGTGATCTATATATCTTTATAAGATTATTTGAAAAATAATTATTTGAAAAGAAATATGAAGTTTGCTAGCATTTATTGTGCACCAAGTAACCGGTACAACAATAACCCTAAAGAGTAAGTATCATTTCACTCTGTTTTTGCAAGTATCAAAATTGAGGTTTGGTGGGATTCTGTGACTTTCCTAATCTCATACAGCCCATAAGCAGTGGTCTGTGCAAATGATTAACAATCAATGCAAATAAAGGCATTCAAATTCTAGACACCAAGCTCTTAAATATCACGCATCATATTGACTACTATACCTATATATATATATAACTAACTTATCTCAGACACTCATTGTTTAGGTTGAATTGTGTCCCTCCAAAATTCATGTTTAAAGTCTTAACCCCAGTACCTCAAAATGTGACTGTATTTGGAGACATGACCTTTAAAGAGGTAATTGAGTTAAAACGAGGCATTAAGGTGGGCCCTAACCCAAACTGACTGACTTCCTTATAAAAAGAGGAAATTTGAACACACAGGGACTTGCATCCAGTCACGTGGCTTGTGAGTGATTGAGCTGAGACTTAGTCTAGCGGCAGCATTTTCATAAAATCAAGCAGCAAGTTAAAATCAGTAATCACTGTATCATACCACAATCTTGATTCATTAGAAAAAAAAAAATAAGGAGATCAATAATAACTATGAAATCAGAAAATTCTCAGGTATGATACCAAATTATCAAAATGGGATTTAAAAAATTAAAAATGTAAGTCCAAAGTTAGGTGTTATAGTATATCCAATAGATTCCATAATACTCCCCACATGAATAACAT